GATCTAAAGTTTTGTTTCCAAATTGGTCGGAATAGAATAAAACGGACAATTCTTTCAGAACAACCAAATTTAGACCTATACTATGTTTCTTAATGCGACACAAACGTTATATTGAAAAATTGATATTCATTGTAATGTTTCCGATAAATTCCGTATTTCACATCGCGAATCGTTAATAAATTTGACTCAAACTAGTTTGCATACCACACCAGTTCCGGGTTGTTTAGAATAATGAATGTAATAATAATTATATAATTATATAGAAGTAAGAATAATATGAAAATAGAGAAATTATAATAAATATTCTTATTTAACAAATTTAATAATAATAATAATAACAGTCTTTATTAAGAATTGAGATACAATACAGTATACAATATTAAAATCTCAAATTACGAAGTCTAGCTGACTAAGTCAGTTAACATTAATCAAACACAATTAATCTATATAATATACACCTTTTGGACAATACAATTTATAACAAGAGAACCCGTAGTAAAGAAAAATAAAATATAAACAAATGAAAAAGAAAGTAAGTAATTATAGAAATACTTATGTGATTAATTAAAAGACGAAAAACCCAATCAGCACTTTATTTATCTAATAACACGCCTTTAACGTTCTTTCGAGCAATTTTAAAGATAAGGCTTAGATTAAGTTTTTGCCGTATTATAGGTAAACCCTCGCTCGTAAAGAGCAGATCTGTGTTCAGACACAGTTAGCGTGATCTATCTAATAAAAAACAAACCAATCAAAAAATAAGCAAACTTTTATAAACTGTCTACAAGAACAAAAGTGGGAGGATGTAATTATGACAGAAACGGATGATGTCAATCGAGAGTGGAACGCTTTTATGAATCTTTTCTCTACACTGTTTGATCAATGCTTTCCTAAAAAAAACAATAAGAAACGCTAGTGGTGTAAAATCATATAAACAGGAATACAGAGTTGTTAAGCGAAAATATGATAACCTTTTCAAAACTGCACGACCTCAGGCATATGACATTAAGCTAAAGCTTTCTGATAATAAAACCAAATGCATGTGGTCAATATGCAATGAGATTTTGGGTAGAAACAGTTTAGGGGCTGACATTGGTATGAGTGGGGATCCTAATCAAATTTCAAATGATTTTAATGAATATGTGATGAACGTTGTATCTGAATTATTGGAAAACCTAAAATATCCCTTAATTCACAGTCCATGGTAACACCAGATGAAATCTGTCATTTTGCTCGACAGATTAAAAATAAACATAGTAGTGGAATAGACGAGATTCCAACCAGTATAATAAAAATTTCTGTGCCGCATGTTAGTAAGGTGTTGTGCCTTTTGAATAATGAATCCTTTGCAAATGGCGTTTTCCCAGGCAACTTAAGACAGCTTTAATAAAACCGCTCTATAAAAAGGGAGATCCACAAAGAATTACAAATTACAGACCAATTAGCCTTTTGCCTGGGTTTTCTAAAATATTTAAGATGGCTATGTGCAAAAGGGTCTTATAGTTTTTTAATAAATATAAAATGTTCAACAATCATCAGCATGGTTATGTAGCTAATTAATCAACAGAAACCGCTATATTTCAATTTATAAAAACAATTTTAAAACACTTGGAGGGCGAAAGAATAGCTTTAGGTACGTGCTTAGATCTTTCTAGAGCATGCGACAGACAGGGAGTTATTGCTCAATAAATTGGATCTATACGGTGTAAGAGGTAATGTTCTAAAATTGCTTGAATCATACTTAATAGGAAGGAAACAACAAGTAAGAATAAGCCAAAATGGCAGTAGTTATTTTTCGGATATTAAGCAATATAGTCTGGGCCTAGCACAAGGTAGTATTCTTGGTCCACAGTCAGAAGAAGAGAGCATAATATGCTATGCGGATGATATCAACCTGCTTGTAGGTGGAATTAATCTCAATGAGGTAATAATAAAAATAAAAATAAATAAAGGCAACGATATTTTTACAAGGGCTTCGAGAGAGAAAACGAATTTAATTATGTTTAAAACTAAATGACGTAGAGTTGAAATACCATTAGGAATAATAGGAAAATATTAGTATTATAAATAGCACTAATTTCTTAGGTTTACAAATTGACGAATTTCTTGATTGGTCTGAACATATTAATCATCTGCTAAATAAATTAAATTCAATTTGTTATGGAATCAGAGTCGTTGCAATTTATATGAATAAGGAAACTTTAAAAATTATATACTTTGCAAACTTTCAGTCGCACATGAGGTATGGAATTATATTTTGGGGGGGGGGGGGGGGTAGTGGTTAACTACAGAAAATTTTCGTGGTTCAAAAGAGGACTCTTCGCACTGTTAAAAAAATGTAATTTAGGGAGAGATATGCTTTATATATTTATGAAGCATTGATATTCTTTTTTAAAAATCGAAAGGACAGATATTTCATAGATATAATACCAGAACCTTAAATATAAATTATCCAATTCACCGTTTAACCTTAACTAGAAGGAGTCCTTATTACGTGTCCCTGAGATTGTATAATAAATTACCAAATGAGGTAAAAACAATTGCAAATCTAAAAATCTTTAAATACACAATAAAAAAGTTATTGATATGTATTGATAAATATTTGTTTAATTAATGTAATTGAAATTTGTAACAATATATAGTGCTTTTTCCTTTTTTGACGCCAATTTCCTGTGTGGTTGGTATATTATTTTTAGGTAATGTATTTATGACACAATGTGAAATAAAGTTGATTATTATTAATTACATTATGGGTTTCATAGCGAAAAACTGGTTTATCTTTTAAACAGGGCGGCCTAGATGCCTTTAAGATTTTATCTATTAACACAGTGAATAGGTATTCAAATAAATTGCCTATTCTCAACCACTTCAACAACTTAATTTTAGAGGACACGTGGTCATATTTCCTTAAACCATATACAAACCTCCAACAGTTGTTTCGTATTTTTTTAACGATTTTTTATGGACGACCAAGGAGTGTTAAACATGGGTAAAACAATACGAGGCAATGACTCACAGAATTGTTAACTTTAACTTTAAAGTTTAATATATGCTTATTGGCATGTAGAGTCTTTGATAAATTCTTTTACTTCAATTTGAAATGTGCTTACTAAATCTTAATGACGCAGCCACCGTTACTCCTAAGTTTTTAGCCTTGGTAGCAAGCGACAAGGATTTCCCATTTATCTCAAGAAGCAAGTATCTTTTCAGGAAGTGCATTGCAGTTTTGGCCGCATTTAATCTTAAAGCATGTCTCGCACTATAACTAAAAATCTGCCGCAGATCAAAATTAATGTCTGCTTGGACCCCATCATAATGGAAGGATCCAAAAATATAAACATGGTGGGTATCGTCAGCTGATACCACTTCACCCACTTTCGACACATCAGCTGTCGTCCTAACAACTTGTCTTCTATTTTGCAAGTAGTTGCAAAAGAAGGCCAGTGAACCGTCAGATAGTCCAAAGTTTAGCAATTTAGCGCATCACAAACTCGAGAAACGTCGAGTAGGATTTGTATGGTTGCAAGTTTGTCATCTAAACTCTGAAAAATTCGATCCGTCACATTTAACAAAACTTTTGCAGTACTCTGTTCCGGACGGAAATCCAATTGAAAAACAGATAGAATGTCATTACTTTTAACAATTTCATAGAGCGGAAAGTAGACAACCCTCTCCAGCACCTTGCTGGAATGACACACACAACAGCTATCTTCCAGCAGGATGGAAAGTAACCATTCTCGAGGAATCAATTTACTGTGAGGGTTATATGGTTAAGAAGTATGCATAAACTAAGTTTTAGCATTAAAAGTGAAATTCTATTTACAATACAACTTTATTGGTAAATTTTAGTCATCATGTTCCAAGCAGTCCTACGAACTATAGTCGTTGGAGTCTAGAAAAATAATAAGGGGCTCTAGAGTATTTTCTAGCATGTTATCAGCTTCAAGCACATGTTCAACGTCCCTTATGTTAAATGTAGTGTTATGCCTTTTTACAAACCATTTTACTTCAAAAATACAGCGTTTAATTTGTTTAATAATTACAATAATTCTCTGCATACCGTCATGTTAACGATATTGTTATGACCATGCAGAAACAAGGTTTTCATTTGTTTAAAGCGAGAACCGTACATCGGATTGAAAAAATCAAAAAAATAAATTTCTTTGGAAACGATTGGAGATTGTAAGAATAATTATTATTCAAAGAGAAATCAGTGGCGTGCCATCAATATCTGCCAAAATAGATAGATGAAATTTCGTACGTCCGCCACTGGTGTATTTTAAAAAATTGTGGTGCACTAAAGAAGGCCTCTTGATACATACTACATGTGTGTCCATTAAAATATCTAAAGTGGTATTGCAGATATTAAAAAATATATTTTATTTTTTAAAACTTTACCACCATGTATCACAAAAGTTTTAGTACATATATTCATATGGAGTTTTCTTTTTAAGATAAACCAAACATCGCCCCCTTAATAATTGGCATTCAATTAGAAAACAACCTGTATAAGTAAGGAACAATCCCTATATGTATTGAAGACACTATATATACATCTATAATCGGAAGTATCGGAGGCAGTGCTTATATACTTTTTTACGATTTTTATCTGAAATCTTAATTTACACTTAAATTAACTATACCAACTTGGCGATTAACTAAGCAACTGGGTATTCTATTTAGCTCCCGTCGCGTACCCTCCACTGCTCTTAAAGAGAATCAGCTGACTAGGAAGCAATGCCCCCCCATAATAAACGCAATTACATAATATCCATGCAGAGGCACAGTCGACCCGCGCCCCACAATTCCACCCAAATAAGTGGGGCCGGACGATAACAGTCAACCCTCGCAACAGGTATTTAAAATTTAAATACCGCCGTAAATATCGAAGTCGTTGACCGCTGACACACCCCCCTTTTTATTTGTACGCCGCTCAGCTGGCTTCTACCCGAAACCGTTTATCATATTATTTAATCCTAGGAATCAAGAGCCACACATACCTGCAGATCTTGACTGGAGCTATCTTTGTGGGTGGCCGCCCTGATCACGCCAGCTCTCCAATTCCAATCTCTGACTTTTCCTTTGATTTTCGTGAATCCACTAGACACTGACAAAAACCGCTTGCCCACAATTTCCTCCCTGCACTTATATGCCATTGTAACAACTGTGAACTATTTTTTTTTTATTATTAACTAGAACATTATTCATTTACTCAAACTTTTGTATAATACGCGAAACGGCGAACTTGTTTTGGGCACAGAATTCAAGCACAGAACATTTGTTTCGACAAAAAACTCGCGCCAGCCAGCTAGATTATGGTACGTCCGCATCGCGTTTTAAAGATTTTCCATTCTACACACCACGGCGTAAAGCTAGAGTCGCCAAATGCACGTTTCTCGCGACGTACGAACGTCCTTCGGCTGTTTCCGTCGACGGACACGACGTTCGACCAAGAGGAGGCGACAAGCAAGAAAATATCGAAAACGGGACCATCTCCATAGCTCGGCGCGCACCGAGCCGCCTGCTTCGGCGCTGTTGCCCATTCGGACGCGGCATTATCCTAACGGACATCAGGCAGCGACAAAAATATGATTTTTTACAGTTTCCTAGTTCATTCGTACTTAAAAATTTCAAATAATTCAACATTGGTGTGGTGTGTGCGTCTTTCTAACCGCACCGGGCTATTTTTAACGTTGGAGTCGACGCGGAAATTTTCGTAATCGTCGTGAAATCTTCCGAGATGTGGCACCAATGCATTCGCCAGGGTTTGGGAGCCGATCGAGGTTAAGGGAAAGTTTTGGTTGCTGGCGCGAGTGGGCAGCACGTACCGGAGGGACGTGAGGCGCCATCTAGACGTTGACACGCCAAGTGTAGAGCGCATGCAGTTAAAGGCGAACACGCACGTCGCATTTCTTGCTAGGTTTTAAAAAGTGGCCTGTCCGACAGTACAATTTCGGAAAGGGTTAGAATATCTTAACACGATTTGAAAACCGTTTTTGTAATTTTCCAAAAATTTATAGAAATTTTTCATTGTGATTAAATGTGTATTAAATGTTGAGATATAAAGTCATTTTGAATTTTTTCAATTTTGGATCTTACGCGTGTTTTAGGTATTTTTTATTGTGTTGAAAAATTAATTTTTCCAAGAAACTTCCTCTGTAATACTTTCTACAAAACTTCTGGATTCCTCCTGCGTCGGTTTGTGCGGAGTCGAACTTGCAGACGTTTCGCCAATCAAACGTTAGCAAGTTCGACTCATCAAAAACCGACCCTGGAGGAATACAAAAGTTTTGTATTCCTGTATTTTTTTATTTTGAAAAATATGTAACAACATACTTTTTTTTCAGAAACAGGCATTTTTTTTTATTTTTATACATTTCTAAAAATATAGATTTTTTGGTTATAAAAAAATAGAACTTACTTTTTACTAATTTCAAAACACTAATATTCTTCATTCTGAATCATACATGCCTTCGTATGAAATCTTGGATAGGCAATTGATTTTACCATTTTGAAATCTGCCTAAATTTTGCTTTTTGGACTTTACACAAAATTTGTAGAATTTTCAACGGAATATTGTTGGGTTTCCAGCTGTGAGAGAATATTTAATATGGTTGATATTGCATACATACATCCAAGGCGCTATCGGTATTCAGGGATTTTAGTTTAGTTTTTATATAATAATATGCAAATTATTTCAAATATATTTGCAATATATATGCGTTCTAAAAAAAAACAGACATACAAACACAATTTTTGATTGATTCACCTAAAATTTTACAATCATTAATAACATGAACGTGTCATTTTTAATAATTAAAAACAAATACAAACCAAACTGAAGATAACATGGCCCTGTAAATGGAATTCGCTCGTCCACTGCCGCCTTTACGATCCAACCGTGAGCGAACGTTACCGACTCTGTCCGGTCTCCTTCGGTTGGTTTGACTCCCAAAGAGGGGACGCTCGAACAGAATAGGAACTTGTTGTTTTTTAACAAAAGATGGCTGCGCCAATCTGTGTACGAACGGCAACCGTGCATCGTCCTCAACGCGAATTCTGAGGTTGCACTTGTCATGTTCATCCGTCAAAGAAACTGTTTAAATTAGTAGACTCGGTGTATTGTGATTTCCACCATAAACAGGGGACAATGATCTCATCGATTATCAGTAGGATTGTAATGTAAGTTTTTTATTTTGTTGCTTTGTTTATAAGTCGGTGTAAATGCGTGGTTCTTTGTTTACGTTTTGACCGCTCACGTGTGGAATTCGTTTTCGTAGATGCGTATTTGGGATGATTCCGTTAATAGTTTCGGAATCACTTCGACTGGACGTCATATGATTTATATAGTTTTTAAAATCGGCCACAATCACTAATCAACGAACACCTTGGGTATTGAAATCGATATCGTAGCATTCTGAAAAATTCTCTCCAAATAAGGAACGGTTTCCTATTTAACTGAGAACCAACTAGTTTGCCTTCCACGGAAAGCGTGGCAATGTTTTAGCCGCAAATATTTGTTTTGCCGCAGCTGTAGATAAGGTACTAATTTCTTTACATGGTCAATTTTCCATATTGAGATTACTCAGTGTTACACGGCGGTACGAAGCGGTACTCTACCCACATAACTTTTATTTTAAGTGGTACAGATCCTACGCTCTTTTGTGGGTCATTTTTTTTCGCGGTGAATTCGGTCCGTCTCGCTTTTTAGCATGCTTTTTATGGTCAAAGCAATAAAAAGTTAGCCAATGAATCGTAATTGTAATTGTAATGTAATTTTTTTTGCTGGAAGGAGTCTTCAAAGACATTTGCACAATAGCCTGTACTCCGTTTTGCTTGAAATGCCAGTTTGCCACCATGGACAATTCCTTTTTTTTCTTGTGAGGTGATTACTAATCTTTACATTTGGTGGAAAGATATTTTACTATTACTATCTACTCCATAGTAATCTTCGAAGACATCCTTGAAACGTCATAATAGATCTTAATAATATCCGTAGACATCAGGCCATCTTTCATATACATAATAATAAATAATAAAGTAGACAAGGTTATAAGATGCTAGTAATTATTGTTGAAGATTTTAACACTTATTTCATCTTATTTCATTTTTCTGAATAGTTTTGTGGTAGGCATGTCGGCGGTTTATACTTATAATTCATTTGCTTGGGGAAAGAGCGATTTTGTTGTGTGCCTTTTTGTTGATTTTTGACCATGAAAATTTTAATTATAAAGCTGATATTATATTTCGGCGAAAAATAAGGGGTAGGGACAAAAAAGGGGATGGTAGAAATATTTTATGATGCGATAGAAGAGTATATTTTGAGTCGACGACCTTGCTAAAATTCGCATAGAGCTAAAAATTGGCAGTGACGTTAAATACACCATTATACATGAAATGTCAAAAATTCTCTTCGATTCGACTTGTGCAAAAAAATTTTTCACGGTCATTTTTCTCGAAAACGGTAAGTTTTAGGTCAGAAATATGTTATAGATCATAGAATTATCTATAAAAATTGTTCATGCACTTTTTTCTCACGACTCGCGGTTCCGACTATTAGAAAATTCATATTTTACATAATATGCACACATTTCCTCACAACCTATGAGGTAATGTACTTGGCGTATTTTTTTTAACGTGGTTTCCTTCATTAAATATACTCCACGATTTAATGAAATGAAGAAAATTTGATCAGACAGTATCCAGACAATATCAGTGTTTTCTGCTAAATGTTGTTGCAATAGATAATTGTCTACTTCTACTTCAACAATTATTTCTTCATCTTCATTTTCTTCCTCTTGCGGAATCTCTATTCGCTGTTCTAAGAAAAGGGATGCATCAAATGTCTCTTCATTGGAATCATAAATAATTTCTTCTGTTGTACTTGATTTAATATTCTTTCAAATTCTTGATAATACACATGATACAAATGCTGACAGGCCGAAGTAGATCTTGGCTGTAGACTGTACAATCCGAACTAGATTTTAGATAATTTGTAACATAGGTCGTTATTCGTCCGAACTCTCCATTTCTTTTTATATTTTTGTATCTAGCTATTATTTAGTTTCTTGCTATTTGTTCATTCTATGATTTTTTCATAATATGAAAACTTTAGATATGCTCAGAATCTCCTCCGAATCATACTTAATTTTTTGTATTTGTCTCCATTCTCCTGATTTAATTACAGACTGATAATAAATGAGTTTATATTTTAACTTCAATCCTTAATACCTTTTTATGCCCTACTGCCAACACTCTCCTAATTACAATGATTTACTAAAACCGACAAACTGGGTAACCTAAATCATTTGGTTAATTACAGCGTTTTTTTCAGGTATTTTTTATAGGCAACCACTTGGCATGAAATTTATGAGTTCCAGGGTCATATTTTCCAATGTTGTATTCATATTGAGGACAGGCTTTCTGAACTCTTTGGATTCTGGTCTCGCCTCAGTAAAATGACTTAAAACGAGACTCTCGGTTAATTTTAACTTAATAGTATGCGAATAAAACATCTTCAAATCGGCAAAGCCTTTCTGTATGGATCTCCTCTGGGATAGATTGATCTTTCATTACTACCGCTTTTAATTTTTGGCATTTTACAATAATTTCCATTTTTTCCATTTTGCATTTTTGACAAAAATTAATTGACTCGATTTGTTAGCATTTATTTTTGTTATCTGTTTATATTTATTACTATTTATAAAATTGTAACGTATTTCTAAAATTCTGTTTCAGCAGTTTCCATTAAAGTAGCTATTAATTGAAGTTGTTTGTTCTGTGTATTAACGAATAATATGTTTATTATCAGTAGCGATTTTAGCCTGCTTGCCGCCCTAGCCCCGCCATTTTTAATAGACGAAATTCTATGGATTCATATAACTGTTAAACAATACAAATAAATATTTAATAAGTGTTACCACAATAAATACTAATCATTTTTCTTAAACTATAATGTTTCGATTAATTGAAAAATATCTTCTTTTTGGCTTTTGTCCATGCAAAAATATCGACTATGTCTTCATAATCAATTTCTTGAACTTGTTTAGACAGTACGGCTAACGCATTAAGTCTGTTCTGGTCCATACTTGCGTGTAAATACGTTTTTATCCTTTTCAAGGTGGGAAAAGGTCTTTCTCCTGAACAGTTAGTGGCGGGAATACTCAAAAAAAAACCTAGTACAATGTCTACATTCAGATAAATATCTCGAATATTCCGAGAATGTAACACATTGCATACCTCTGTGCGGAATGTACATCGTCCATGTTTAATAGCTAATCAGGATACTTAGTAACTAATTCATCTGCAAAAATTTTCGAAAAAGTTTAAATTTTCGTAGGGATTAGTATAAGTACTTCCACGTCCGGCCAATTGCACGCTTAAAGTATCTAAAATTCGATAATAAACGTTGATTAGAAAATTTCTTCTCCAGATAAAGGAGTGACTCATCTGCCATCATTACGATAATAATTTTGAACTCCAGATAGTGGTTTGGCTTTTTGTTCATATTTGGAGACTTGTTTATCTCTCGTGTCTTGTAAAAATAATGCGTAAATAATGTTTCCCGGATGACAAAACAGCTTGAGAATCCTAAAACTTCTTACTGGAAGCATTAAAACGATCCAAAATAGCATTCCCAACAATGACTAGAATTGCCCTTTCTAGGTGTAATTTTTGCTGCAGCCCTCTAGCTTCAAATAGTGGGTTTTCATCCTTGTTTTCAGCAATTAATTCTAGTGCGACAATTATTTCAAGCCACTCTTTTTCTAATGGATGAATCGTGCAGACCAACGAGTTTGAGAAAGGCTTTTGACTCTTAAACTTGTGTGCTATAGTAAGTTCTCCCAGCGATATGTTGAAGTGGTAAAAAAAATTCTCGCAACGTGGAAAAAAAATCAACTGCTTCGGTTACAGATTCAGTTGCACAAGTTCCCACTAAATTTAAGGAATGAGCAGCACAAGGAACATATTCTGCTAACCAACCATTATTTTCAAGAGATTTTAACAGAACATCTTCAATATCTTCAGCCTTATGACCAGTCTTTGGGATAAATTCTAGAAATCTTCACCAGTCATGTACATATCGAAGAATAATAAGTCAGACGTAAAATCCATAATTACACCAAACTACTTAGCAGATTGCAATTCCCGAGAAATATTTTTTATATTAATTATTTATAATTTATTCGTAGATTGTTTTAGATAAATACGAGGTATTTCCAGGGTGCGTATATAATTTTAAATGCTCTGATAAAACGGATCAAATTCAGCAAAAAGGTCGACTGAACCTCAAAAAATGTCCATTATGGGGATCTCCAATTCGTTCTGAATGTCCTCTAAATGGCAGACCTCTTATCGCGAGGGATTTGATAATCGCAATTATTAGATACACAACTTTTTTTCCAGTATAAAGTTTCTTCATTGAGCTGTTTCTTTAAATGTTGGTCAACACGGCCTTGAACGACAACGAAATTTGAAATGACTAATGTGAATGTGAATGTGAATTTTCATGAACTTCAATGCGCGCTTTTGAGTTCTTCCAATCTCGAACCACTTCTACCAAATAGTAAACATAGACCACAAAACACCTATCCTTTATTTTCTGAATAGATTAACCACTCAGGACGTTTGAATTTCATCATTTTAAATATTTTTTGAATTTATAAAATTCGTTACATTATTTTGATGTAGACAGTTTGTAGTAATGATATCTCGTGTTTCTTCATTCAAATTTAATAGAAAAGAATCACTACTCAGTTGGCAGATATCAGTTCTTCATTCGCATCTGATGAAGGAAAATTTGACGGCTTCTCGTTTATATTTGTATCTTGCAATAAAGAAGGATTTAATTTTACTTGTGCTGGAATCAAAAATATTTTTCTCAATTAAAAATATATATTTTTTAAGAATCTATTAATATTTCAAATATTTACCTCTTATGGGTGTTTAGTATATAAGAATTTTTTTTTCGGAGTAACGAGGTTAGCGCCAAAATTTCCCGGCCTGACATAGATGCATAGATGCTTCTTTTAAATATATATCTTAGTAGGCTGCGAAAAAAGAATTGAAGTCTTGCATCAAATAGTTTTTTATTGACAGCATTTTAAACAAGACGTGTCCGAAAAAATGTCGCAAATAACGCAAATTGAGTATAGAGCAGTCATAAAGTTTTTGACAAAAGA